GTTAGGGGTCTTGCTCAGGAACCCAGAGTGGAGGTTGTGGGGATCAAATCAGGTACTTGCAACCTTCTCTAAGCACAAGCACATTACTATAACTACTAGGCCATGACTCCCCAATCCTATCTTAATCCTATCTAAAAAATCAAGCACAAAATTCAGTCTAACGTGAGTAGGCACACATCTGCTGTATGGCCGATTGCCACTGAGATCTTTCAGCTACTCCCTCAGGGTTTGCTACCACAGCTGATGCAGCTGCTTCTCCTGCTTTTACACCAATGATCCCCTTGTCATCCTTCTCCATTAACATTAATCTTCTGTGTAGTCTTTCTCTCGTCCGTGCCTACCTGATAAATTATGCTAAAATATCTATTATCTATCAAAGTTGAAAAAATAAAAACCCATGTTAGGCAGTTTAAGCCTTAGATGCAAGGACTTGTTAAAAAAAAAAGGTTTCTGAGGGAACCATCCAGTAGAGAAGTTTGCACAGAGTTTGGGATTTGAATAAAACAATTAGAATAAGAATTGTCCTTCTCTCCAGTCCTGAGAAACCGTTTTCACAAATTTTGAATTCACAAAGTTTGAAATACACTGCTCAAAAAAACAATGGGAACACTCAAATAACACATCCTAGATCTGAAAGAATTAGATATTCTCATTGAATACTATGTAATGTACACAATGCATAGTGCTGAAAACAAAATTACAAAAAATCATTAGTGGAAATCAAATGGAGTGCCTCGATTTGGAGTCATACATAATATTAAAGTGTACAAAAACACACTACAGCCTATTCAAACTATGATGTAATGTCCAACAGGTCAAAATGAGGTCCAGTATTATGTGTAGATTCCACATGCCTGTATGACCTCCCTACAATGCCTGATGAGATGGCGAATAGACTCCTGAGGGATCTCCTCCCTGACCCGGAATAAAGCATCCCCTGATTCCTGGACAGTCTGTGGTGCAACCTGACGTTGGTGGATGGATTGAGACATTGTGCTCTAGAAGTGCTCAATAAGATTCAGGTCTGGCGAATGAGCGGGCCACTGCATTGCTTCAATACCCTCTTCTTGCAGGAACTGCTGACACACTCCAGACAAATGAGGTCTACATTGTCCTGCACTAGGTACCTAATGGTAGTCATGCAGGGGCGGTTATAGGAAACAAATTCCTGGGGGTCCAAGGTGGGGCCACCGTTTTTTCATGGGGGGCACAGAAATGAAACAAAAAAAGGACAATTTTTTTTTTTTTACAATATTTTTGTTTAATTAGGGCACCAACAAAACAAAAATTAATTCTAGTCAAAAGATTTCACATGCTACACATGAGAACAATAAACCTTCACAAACAGTTTTTGTACACTAACATTTATATTCACTTGGATGTAATAAAGTTGTATTATCTCTGTAGTTATATGTTTATGTTGTTGTACATGGAGTGTTGCACTGGCAACACTGAATTCTGTAACACAACAATAAAAGTATTCTGCGTTTGTGGTTTCTTGCAAAATAGTCCACAAATGCATCAAGTTCCAAAGCCTTAGCCCTTCTGGATTCAAGGCTCTGCATCCCTAAACTGCTAAGTCGTTAATCAGTAATGGTGGACCGGAGGTAGGTTTTCACTCATTTTAGTTTGGAAAAACTCCTCTCAGAGAAGAACACACTGGTAGTGCAACAGTGATTTTGCACAGTCTAAAGAGCTTGCAGAATACTTCTTTGTATGGCTCAATGAAATAGATCAACTTCACTGTATCAGAAGGGTTTCCAATCTCGTGACTCTTTATTATTCTCTCTAAAAGTCTTCTGAACTGATGGAATTCAGGTCCCAGACCCTCATCATATAGACCACCAAATTCAAACTGAGTTGTGTCTCTTAAAAATGCATCACTCTTTGGGTTAAGAGATTGGACACAACTCATCAGCTCACAGAAGGTCTTTGAAAAATGTCTGCTCAGTTCACTAAGCATGCAGTCAATGACAGGATAAAAGAATCACAATCAGATTTATTGCCAAGTAGGTTTGCACTTACAAGAAATTTGACTTGATGTTGATGGTACAGACAAATTAGATATATATATACAGAATACAGAATCTATAGTTATATACAATATAAAACATACTATATACTATATGTACTATATACACAGTAGGCTGTGCATTAATGTAACGCAGGAGGTCTGGAGATGCCACTGGTAGGTAAGGCTGGTAGAGCAGATGGGAAGAAACTTTTCTTGTGGCGTGAGGTTTTAGTCAGGTGGATCATACTTGCACTTACATATAGCTGAAAATAAATTAATGATAATATCAGGGTGTAACTGAGAGCATTAATGGATTCATTAGCTCGTAATTGTATCTATTTATTCTTTATAATCCATTAAGATCATACTAAAAAAGGAATTAAAACTAAGTAATTGTTTTTAATGATTATATGTGTCCCTGATTGGAACAGGTAAATAGGATTACCTGCCAATATGAAAGGTTTTTGCTCTTAGAACAGCAAAAATTAATCTCCATCATCTTATTTCAAGTGCAGCATGTCTTCTTATCTTATTTTAAAGGTCAAAATACTTTTTCCATTGGCTGACAAGATTATTTGCCTAGTAAAATCAAGGACAAATAAACTCCTTTTAAGAAAATTACAGGCCACAACACAAAGACCACGTGCCGTTGATGGGACAATGAAGAGGGCAAATGAACTGAACATGGTCGTCAACAGGTTTGACAAGCCTGTGACCCCTCCAACTGCTGCTGCAGCCATCTCCCCTTCCCCCCACAATTCACCTTCCCCATCTCCATCTCCTTTTCTCCCCAGCACTCACCTCCCCCCAGAAACAGGACCTCCACCCCCAGCCTCTACCTGCCCCCCCATCTTAGCTATCACGGCACCACCATCCTACTCTGCTCCTGAAGTCCATCACCAGTGTGATGCAGGATGTCTTCCATAAGGAAGACATGGCCCCTGTCCTCTTCACCCTATACACCTCAAACTTCTGTTACAACTCTGAGCTGTGTCACATACAGAAGTATGCAGATGACACAGTTTTGGTGGGTGATAGGAAGAGGGGAAAGGGTCAGCACTCCCCTCCTTGGACATCTTGTAGAAAACATTACCTATTGTCACGTATGTGCAATATTCTTCTCTCTCACAGTGCAATAACACAGGCCAACTACTGTGTAGTCTGTGTATTATATACTTATTTATAAGGTCAGTACTGTACATCTCTGCAGTGCAAGTGCAATAATCCAAGTCAACTACTGTATAGTCTGTATAATTTTACTTATTTAAATGGTCAGTACATCTCTGCAGTGCAAGTGCAGTAATTCAAGTCAACTATAGTCTTTCCTTTGCTCTTTACTGAGCAGATATTTTTATATCTAAAGGAAACATATTCCATGACATTACAACATTTTAAGCTCTTTTGTACTATATACACTATATACTACACATTTTGCTTGTTGCATTTTCATATTTAATGGCATTTTGCTTTAACTCTGCCTTTTGTACTCTATATAAACTAAAGGAACCAGCATTTCCCAGAAGGAGAAATCCCAAGGGATAAATAAAGTTGCATCTAAGTCTAAGTCTATGCTGTTGATTTTATGGGATGACCAGCCAAAGGTATCAATCATCAGGTGCATTGACCAGCAACTTGCTTGACTTAAACCCTATAGATTTATGGCTATTGGGTTTCGTAAGAAGGAAAAATGGATAAAATCTAAAATGGATAAATTAGCTAATGTTAGCCCACTTAGATAACACATTTTAATGGGATAAATGTACTGGGTGCTTTTAAGGTCTTAATTGCCAAAGAGCTGAGTGGGGTCCAGTAACATATGACATATAATATACTTTGAAAGTTAATATGAAGGTGATCACTCTCTGCTCTGGAGGTCTGAAACACCTCTGTCAGTGACGTCTCTCTGAGGGTCGAGGGTCTGTCGGGGCAAAGTTTTGTCTCCTCTCTCCATTTCTGTAGCTCAACGTTTTTTTGCTCATGGTTTTTCATGTGCTTATTGAAACTTGTTGTGTTTCCACTGCATGGGGAGATTTGGACTAGTGGTTAGAGCAGTGCTATTGTGCTCTGAGAAAGTTGCAAGTACCTGGGTTGATCCCCACAGCCTACACTCTGGGTTCCTAAGCAAGACCCTTAACCCCACACTGCTTCCTGGGTGCCACCCAATGGCAGCCCACTGCTCCCCCAAAGGGATGGTTCAAATGCAGAGAGTGAGTTTCCCCATTGTGGGACAATAAAGGGATTTACATGTAACTGGCTTTTTAAAAACCATAGAGCTTGCCATTGGTTTCATTAATGGTATTTTCTGCTCTGGTTGTCTCTCTCTTTCTGAGTCTGAGGTGCAGCAGCACAGTGGTATCTGTGTCGAGTGGAGAGAGAGCTGAGTGGGCGGGCCAGGCTGAGCCTGCATGGGGAGCAGCAAAGCGCTGTGACACAGACAGGGTGACTGAGGAATCTGCTGCAGTTAGTGCGTGTAGGAGAGAGTAAAAAGCATTGATCATGCTAAACGAGTATTGTTCAATATCAGTACCAGCATTGGTATCGATAGTATCGATCCTAGGATCGAACCACCCACCTCTGATGGAAAAAGAGTCTGGTTGTAAGCTTTTTTTTTTTTTTTTTTTTTTTTTTTATAAATTCTACTGCAATATGTCAGCATTTTTTGAAGTACAATCCAGACTCTAATGTGGCATATATGCCTTTTACTTTGCTACATTTTGAACCAGTTAATCTATAGCCAAAATAAAAACGAAGAAACCAATTTTATCTACCATGGAAAATATTGTTTGGGCATATTCTTAGAGCCTTAAAAATCCTGATCTCTCCCTTTAAGAACTGAATCTACTGAAAGGGAATGAAAAAGGAGGACCACAGCTGGTGGGTGTAGGTGGGGGGGGGGCTCTGTGTCTGCTCCTTGCCCTCTAGTGGTAAAATGCAATCACCGCCCCTGCACACATGACCTGTCAAACGCAGACGCAAACCCAGCCCAGTGCGCATGCGCTGAGCGCAGCAATCCGCGCCTTTTATGCTCTGCAGGAGCAGCGTAGCGTGGGCTCCAGGCTCAGTGATCTTCCAGCATCGGTTCAGCTCACAGCCCTGCAGCCAGAGTCCCGGTTCCTCCCCAGAGACTCCTGGCTTTCCATGCACAGATGTCTGCCGAGCCAGTTGCTCCCTTACCTCGCCGCCTTTGTAGTGGGTTTTCGACAGAAAATAGTCCTTCTGCAGTAGTTGGTGAGTATGTTTGATTGCAAACGGGTGTTTAGTCGCCTCATGCTGCTCCATAGGCGCTGGTTGGTCGTCCCTCTCAGGCCTGAATGTGGTCAGCCAGCCCTCTCCATGCTTAGCCTGCTCTCTCAGGTCTTGGAGGACAACCTAGCGCAAGGCTAGATGCTAACACAAGCAACCGTCGCAGATTAACTGGGTGCTTTTAAGCAGCTCTTAAAACTTAAAGTTGGACTACCCAGCAATAATATTAGCACTCATATTTAGCGGTAGGTTCAAACGTACCCATGGTAACCCGTTTTTTTTTTTTTACCTTGGTCCTCCTTGGTTTTACCTTCATTGGCTAGCTAACCTTGCTACTGTTTGTTAAACACGCTGTGTTGTTGTTTTTCTGTTTAACTAGCATAAATATATAAACAACAAATCATAAAATATGCATGTTTGCATACTATTTGAGCTAAATTCGCTTTTATTGTAAGTGCTTGACGTCTTTCAGGCTTCAAATCGGTTTTTAGTTGTTGTTTTTTTATCCTAAATGTGTTAATTTCATATAACTTGTATTACTTTGCTAGCATTTTATCCCTTAGCCCATGTCTGTCTAAATAAGACAAGATATTGGGGTTTTATTTATCAAACCAACATATAATTGTACCCTAACTGTGAAGTGGAAGAACAATGATGTATGGGGTTTTAAATTAAATTCTTAAAGGTGTAATTTACATATTATTCAATGGAGTGAAATGCCTTACAGTTACTTTTTAAGTTAATTATGTTTGTTTGATATAATCTCACTAAAAGCTTCAAAGGTTGTTCATGAATATTATTGAACAAATTAAAAAGTAACCAAACTGTCTGTGCAGGGTTTAGTTATAAAATTATAAATATGAGTCTTTATAATGTCTCCATTCCATCATAAAAAATAAAAAAACAGATTTGGAGACTTCACTTTTACAAATTATTAATTCAGTGAAGCTAAATGCAAATGGACATATTTTTACAGGTTTATTTCTAGTTGAAAATTGTGCATAATTTTCCTTTCATTTCCCATAATGCATTTAGGGCTGGGTACCGAACTTCGGTTCTTTTATGGTACCGACCGAAATGCTTCGGTTCTACAGAGTATCGAAACATGCCTTGTCTTTCGGTACCAAGTTTCGGTGATTGGCTGTAACACTTAACGTGATTGCGTCATCCAGGAAAAATAGACAGGTGGTCACGCCTACAGCCAGGGTTCATGTGTATCTGTTGTGAACTGGTTGCGAGCGTCATGGAACCCCTTTAAAATGCCCCCCAGGTCTAAAGTGCGGCTTCACTTTATTAAGAGTGATGCCAATAGTGCTCAATGCAATACATCGTGCACGTAAACAATTTAAGAGCAGTTTGACTGCAAGAAGAGCGGACCGCAGCCAGCGCGACCATCCTCCTCTCAGCAGCCCGTGGGCAGAGCAAAGCCAGAGCGGAGTGAATCATGCTGCTTTCAAACTCCGCGTTAGGCGGAGTTACTCTGTCCTTTATTTGCCTTGCAACTATATTTGCTGTGATCAGTGGGAATAAAGTAGTTTTATTATGTTTTTAAGTGGGAAAATCCACCTGAAAACTTAATCAGTGCAGTCAGTTCATCCCGCCTTCCAATATTTCTGTCGGGGCCGCTCAGACCCCCACATACCAGCGGTGCGCTGTCAGTAGGATCCCATTCAACAGGCTTTTTTGTCAGACATGGTAATTTTTCTAAAGGAAAACTGCTAAGTAAAAAGGTCCTCACAATGTAACAGTGAATATTAGACACTGAATTTTTTTTTATGTAAGAGGAAAAATGTAAATGGAAAAATCAGAGCTTAAAATAAAACTCAAGATTTGTACTTTTTTTATGTTGTGTAATTTTCTTTTTCTTCGAATTGATATTATAAAACTGGTATCGAAAAAAGTATCGTTCAGGAACCGGTATTGAAGTGAAGGTATCGGTATTGGTATCGGAACCGAAATTTTTTTAACAATACCCAGCCCTAAATGTATTACTTGTTGAAGTTCTAACACACAGATTTAAACCAAGGTTTAAACTTACAAATCGTTAATGATCCTTTTTGTAAATGTAAAAAGATAGTTGGAGTTGGTTGCAACTTTGAACTTTTCTATTCAAAGATCATAAGAGATTAAGCAAATTTTAAAAATGAGATGATATACTGTTTCTTTAAATTATTGAGTGAAGATAAAACAGTTAAGTGTTGGTTCTTAACAGGAAAAGTAAAATTCAATAGAAAAAGAATTGAATTGCTCACCTTGAGGTACAGTGAATGCAGCTCTCCTAGCAGTCTAGACAAATTTAGAAGCAGCATCATTTCACTTTACTTAGCTCTGTTAATCCCTCTGAGTTTGTTTTCATATCTTAAGACTTCACACATCCTTAGTAGAACCCCTAAATAAAAAAATATATTCATGCTCTTAGCAGTCAGTTTCACTTTTTGCCAAAATATTTAAAAGAAAATCATGTTTTACAGAAGACGTATCAAAGAATTGGTCACTTTTTGGATCTCCTTTGGCCTTTTTGACAGCTGTAATTGTGAAAAATATTGATTTCTCCAATTAAACAATGTCCTCCATTAGATTCCTCCTTTCTCATATAGACAATTTCCAGACTAGCTTCTTTTCTACAATTGTATTTCACCTTAGATATACACTGAGATCTGGGCAGCTCTCTGGTTACATCATTGAGCTAATCTAGTTTTAAGATTCCTTTTTTTTACTTAATCCATATATTGAAAGTCATTTAAGTGTTAAGATGCACTTTATGCAGAGGTTAATGACCATCATCTGATTTACATGACTTGCAGATGTATTCTTCCTCTGGCAGGCGTCTATATCGTTCAGTTGTTCAGAACCAGCAGTTTTGTTTTATCGTTATTTCCTAGACTAGTTTCAGAGATAAACCCTTTGAGACATTTTGTAAATTTTTTCCGAAACATAACTGTAAATTACTATTCTATTTTACCCTTTACAATTAAAACACATTTTGAAGAGCAGGTTGACACCTCAGTGCAGATGCATCTATAAACCTGTAGCCTGTTTTCTCCTAATTTACTTTGGATTAATTGTCCCGTACTTCTTTGTAGATGCGCGTCCATTTTCAAAGATGTTAAAGATGGATTTTGAGCATCAAGCTCAACTCCAATACCAATGGCAACTCAACGTAGGGTGAAAAAGTTTAAAAAAAAATAACTTAAGTTTGAGCTATTACATAGGACGAGCTTTTCCATGCTTATTTCTGAACTGTCAACACTAATTATATAAAATCTTTTTATTTTTTTTACCTTTCTTTATATATTTAAAACCAACACAGCATCGCAGTGACTTCCTCCAGGAGTAATGATGAAATAAGAATCTTTTTTTTTTTTTTTTTGTTATTCCTCCTTTTCATATCATTTTTAAGCATGTTTAGATACTTCTCAAATATAAACTACAAAGTTGCTCAAAATCTACCACTCTTTCCTTTAATCAATAAATGCTGTGATTGCTCCCATCAGCAACCCTCTGATTACAGATATTGGGGATTCATAAATATGGTTGTGGACCTTTTGTTTGGTGGACAACTATGGTTTATGTTCAGATCAGATTCTTGTGAGGCATTTTGGGATTGGAATTATGCAGATGAATATAAAAATGTGCCTATTTTTGTGTTTTTCCTTCTTCTGTCTTCTACTATCCCTCTCAGACCCTAATTATTTTGGAAAAAGTCATTTTTGTTCTGTATGACGTGCTCACCTGCTGCCTCAGCAATGTTCAACATATAACATTGGCCTCAAAAATCCAAGTTTATAGAATAGAATCACCCTTTATTCTCTCAGAATGAGGAAATTTAGGCGCATTAGCGGCAAAGTAAAACTAGAGAAAATAAGCGTGCAGATGCATGAAAAGATACAGAATATATTTAAAAAAGGAAGACTAAGCCGATAAGGGTAAATGTTCATATATATTTATGTTTAAAACACCAACAGAATTAAATGACTCCAGCTACCTATTGAGTTTGTGGGTAGAGGTGTGTTATAAAGGCAGCTCCATCTATCAGTGCTGATGGGTTTTAAGTCACCATAGCATTGGGATGTTTTATCCAACAGTTGAATCATTGCTAAAAGTCCTTTGTGATATTCATGTTACACATATCTAAATTACTATGTTGATATGTTTGATATAATTTTGGAGCTCTGATGCCATGCATTAAAGCAGCTCCATAAGTAAAATAAGGAAAAACATGAAAGATTTTCAGTGAACTACGATTGTAGGGCATGATTACATTTTTCCAGAATTTTTAAAGAAACCCTTAATGATATCATTTATTATTTTCATCAAGTGTTTATATAATAAACCTTTAACCTCTTACACCCTAAGGGGGTATAAATAAATTTCTGCCTGACAAAAACACACAAAAGTAAATAACTTATAGCCTCAAAGCTATTAGATTTAAGAAGAAACTTTTGGTACGTCTGTAAAGGTAAGATGTCATAGAATGGTTTTCTGGTGTCAGCACCATTGTAGCTTTGACCCTGCCTGAAATATTAGGGACAAAATACAAAATATTTTGCATTTTTTGAACCTGGCCAAAATTTTCTTTGAAATAAACATTGCAAAACACTACCAAAATATTATTTATAGCACAAAAAAGTAGTACAGACTTTCAAATCTAAATGTTGTGTAAAAATATACCAAATTTGGACTCAATCAGATGAATCATATTTATTTTAGAATGGTATTAGTGAGAAATTTCTTAGGCGGAGAGGCCATTTTGGCACATTTATCCATAAATGTCACCAAACTGTGCCAAATTTGTTTTTTACATCAATACTGGGGGTTTGGTAAAACTACGAGGTCATGTAGCAGCTGGACCCGCCGGTGGGTCCGTAGGGTTCAAGGGGTTAAGGTGGAGCTACATGTATTCATCGTCAAGGCAAAACATAGAAGTTTTAGGCGATTTCTTTTTAATTTTTTTTTTTTCAATGAGAATGAATCATGAAGGAAAA